CCGTCCGTCCGTCCGTCCATCCCACTCCGTTCCGCCGCCCCGGCCCGGCCCGTCCCGGCGGAACCCCGGGGCCGCCGCTCGCGTGGGCGACACGGGCGTTTCCGCCGGGCGGCACCGCTCGTCTGCTCCGGAAGCCCAGGAGCAACCTTGGCCGCGCCGATTGGCTGGAAGGGCGGGAAGCCCCGCTGGGATTGGCTTCGCTGGAGAGGGTGGGCGGGGATAAGCGGGCCTGGTCGCCGCCAACTTCCGGGGCGGTGGGGGGGAATAGACGGGTGGGTGGCGGCAAGATGGCGGTGCAGGCGGTGCACCTGGAGGCCGACGCCTTCCTGGTGTGCCTTAACCACGCGTTGAGCACCGAGAAGGAGGAGGTCATGGGGCTCTGCATCGGCGAGGTACTGGGGCTGCCGCGGGGATACGGTGGGAGGCGGTGCTGCCCGGGTGAGGCGAGCGGCCTGCGGGAGAGGGGGCTGCGGGCTCGCACCGCCTGAGCGGGGCTCGGTCTCCGCGGCGGGGAGCGCTGTGCGGGCCTGCGTGGGGACGGTTCCGCTCTAGCCTCCCCTCACCGGCCCTGACTCGCACCAGGCTGGGAGTGAGGAAAGGTTCCAGCCCGGCCCCGCGCTGTACCTTCTCCTGCCGGAGCGACAGCACCGCGCGTCTGAGGAGAAGGGTCTGTCCCGGTGGACAGTGAACTATCCATGGGCCAGCGATGGGCCCTTGTGGCCAAGACGCCAATGGAACCCTGGGCTGCCCAGGGAAAAGTGTGGCCAGTAGATGGAGGGGGATTCTCCCCCTCTGCTTTGCACTGGGGAGGCCACAACTGGGATCCTGCGTCCAGTTCTGGGCTCCCCAGTTCAAGAGAGACAGGGAACTACTGGAGAGAGTCCAGCGTAGGGCAACAGAGATGATTAAGGGATTGGAGCATCTCCCTGATGAGGAAAGGCTGAGAGAGCTGGGGCTCTTTAGCCTGGAGAAGAGAAGGCTGAGCGGAGACCTTATTAATGCTGACAAGTATCTAAAGGGCAGTTTGAGGGACGATGGAGCCGGAATCTTTTCAGTGGTTCCCAGTGACAGGATGATGAGCAACGGGCACAAGCTGGAACATGGGAAGCTCCATTCAAATATGAGGAAGAACTTCTTTCGGGTGAGGGTGGCAGAGCCCTGGAACAGGCTGCCCAGGGAGGGTGTGGAGTCCCCTTCTCTGGAGATCTTCAAGCCCCACCTGGATGCTCCTGAGTGATGTGCTCTGGGCAACCCTGCTTTGGCAGGGGAGTTGGACGAGGTGATCTCTAGAAGGTCCCTTCCAACTCTGACAATTCCATGGTTCCGTGACAGGAGCCAGCCCTTTCCCTGAGGGTGGTTATGCCTTTAGCAGAGAAAATAATCATTTTTTTCCTTCTGTGTCGTTAGGTTGACACCAGCCGAATCGTTCATATCCATTCTGTCATCATCCTGCGCCGCTCCGATAAGAGAAAAGACCGCGTGGAAATTTCGCCAGAGCAGCTTTCAGCTGCTTCTACTGAAGCAGAGATATCCTTTGGCAGGGGCAGCAGCAAACCTGCCAGTGAGGTCGTTTAAATTGTGTTTTAAATTTCTTCTAGTTGGCTTGAAGTTGTCCGCTGCTTCCCTCCTGCAGCTGTTGGGTTTGGAGGGCTGTTCCTGTTCTTTGCTGGTTCCAGCATTTGCAGTAGAATTGTGTTATAACTGGTTTTTTTTATAATTTCTTCGTACTTGGTCACAGTAAAATTGAAGTATGTTTTTGGGGGAGGGTAGCAGTTCTGCAGGGAAACTGCATTGAAGATGAAAGGTTGAGAAGTCTCTGTTTCTAAGCGTGGTGAACTGGAGAGCCTTTTCCCTACGGATGCTCAAGGATGCTGTTTTGGACACCTTGCTGCCATGTCACTTACTGCCACATGCAAACAAAATCTAGTTTGTTTCTGCAGCAGCAGCATCCCCTTGGTGCTGGGGAAGAGGCTTCCACCAGCTTCCTGCCCTGTATCTTGTCACCCCTCTAAAGGGATCTGGAATTCTGTCGAGTGATGAGAAACTCTTTTAAAAATCTGCTGGTTTTCCTTGTACAAAGAAAAAAAAAACTTCTGCCGCTTGCTCTGTTTGTTTCAAAAGCACCTTGACTCACACACAGGTTGGCTGAAATGACGGGACGTCCCATGAGAGTCGTGGGCTGGTACCACTCTCATCCTCATATAACTGTCTGGCCATCGCACGTCGGTAAGAGCAGTCTTGGGCTGGGTTCGATGTGAAGAGTCACATTTGGATAATTGTGTACAGCAGAGGGCTACAAAGATGGTGAGGGGCCTGGAGTGTCTCTCTTATGAGGAAAGGCTGAGGGACTTGGGTCTTTTTACTTTGGAGAAGAGAAGACTAAGGGGGATCTGATCAATGCCTATAAATACTTAAAGGAAGGGTGTCAAGAGGGTGGAGTCAGTCTTTTTTCAGTGGTGCCCAGGGACAGGACAAGAGGAAATGGGCACAAACTGAACATAAAAAGTTCCATGTAAACATGAGGAGGAACTTCTTCAATTTGTGGATGGCAGAGCCCTAGAACAGGCTGCCCAGAGAGGTGGTGGAGTCTCCATCTCTGGAGACATTTAAAACCCGCCTGGTCAAGTTCCTGTGCAACCTGCTCTGCTTTGGCAGGGGGTTGGACTAGATGATCTCCAGAGGTCCCTTCCAACCCCATATCATTCTGTGATTCTGTTATTACTTAGTTTACTGGATTTTTTAGAGCTGCACATCCCAACTATCAAAGTTTGGTTTCTCAGATGTCCTCTGGTAGGACAAAATGATCTGGGTGGGCTTCAGGAACCTCTGCCAGTGTATCCTGTCTGTATCCTCCAGGCACTCAAACTTCACGAGACTGGGTAGTCACAGATCAGCTAGTACTAGTACCACTGCTCTTCCAGACAGGAAAACTAGACCTTGAGGAGTGGGAACAGCAAAAAAAGCTGTGAGAATCTGTGATGCCCAAAAGCCTGCTGTGATGTTTTTTGACATTTGTGAGTGTTAATGAAAAAAATAAAACTTTTTTGAATGAAGCGTGCAAGTATGTTTTATGTGGGTGGCATTATGCCAATATAGTGATCTGTGGCACCAGGCTGATGCTAAGATCAGTTCTTGTTTTGTTAACCCATCTTGTATTTTTAAGATTTGCTGTTTAATTACATTTTAAATTGGATTTTTCTAAAAAAAACCCAAACCTTAGTCACCTAGGGTAAGTACTTTAAAATAAATCTTGTGCCATTTGTTACCAAATTCCAGGCCATCCTTCAAAAGGTGGCAAATCTTTCTCCCCTCCTTCAGGTGACCAGCGCAGTCCTCATTCTCTTCTCTGTCTGCAGATGTCCGCACGCAAGCTATGTATCAGATGATGGACCAAGGTTTTGTAGGGCTTATCTTTTCCTGCTTCATTGAAGACAAAAACACAAAGGTAGGTAACTTAAAAATGGCAATAAATTCTCCTAAGTACTCATGAGAAACATCAGCCCCAGGGCAAAGCTGAAATCCTTGGATGTGGCCTCCAAGAAGGGCTGAGCTCTGCTTGGAGCAGTCAAAATGCGACTAAGAGTGGTGGTTTGGATCGTAATCCCAATGACAGAAGAATGAGTTATTAATTACTCTGTGCTGACCCACAGCCTGGCTCTTCAGCCAGCAGAGCTGGGCTGGTACTGGGGTTCTAGGACTGCATCGGGTGGCTGCAGTATGTGTGTGTGTTGAAATGTGTGAGTGCCCTTGAGCTGTTCAGTCCAGATACAGCTCATGGCTGTGCCTCTGGCCTCTTTAGGAGATGCTGCTCTAGTGTGAGATAAGCCGATAGAGATGTGTCTTGTCTAGGTTTTCCAGGTATCTATCGTTTCAGACTTTTTATAGTCAGTGGATATGTCAATATCTGCTTGTAACCAGTTCCATCCAGCATACCAATCAAAAAGCATGTACCTTTGCAACCCGTTAAAATGCTATTTGAAAGTATATTCTACTTCCTAAAGGAATATGTGGGTTTAGATTATTTTTTTTGCTCTTAGAATCTGACTTTCTTCTGTCTCTCTTAGACAGGCAGGATTCTCTACACCTGTTTCCAGTCCATTCAGGCCCAGAAGAGCTCAGAGTGAGTACAGCAGAAGAATATTTTGTCCCGTGTCAGGTTGTGTTTCATCTTGTCTCTCATTTCCAGGTTGTCTCAAATAAGTGGCTTCTAGGTTTATCATGAGGAGCAAATACTATAGATGTGCTTGAATGAGGTCTCCCTACTTCTGCTTGAAGAGAGTCTAAAAACAGGGACTGATTAATTTAGCCTAGATAATTCAGTAGCATAAGATTTGGTGTGGAACAGTGTAGTCTGGGTATGAATTTTGGCTGTAATCTGTTGTGTAGAGGCCTGCCCTTTTGCTTTCAGCTGTAGAGGTCGAGGCTACAAGCTTGCCTGGTGTAGAGACCCCACCAGCTGCACACACATTGTGCATTGTACTGTCAGTACAGGCCATCTAGTTCCTTTAGCATTAAAATGAAAGACAAGTGTGTGGCTATAAAAGGCTTCCGTTTACCCATCAGCTCAAGCATGTGTTCCCAAAAGTTAACCTGCAGCAATGGCATACGTTGGACAGACTGTTGCAGGTTTTTAGATGTGCTTTTTTTTTCTCTGCTGCTTTTAAGTTAATTGTGTCTGATGCCCTTTTAGATATGAAAGGATTGAAATTCCTATTCATGTTGTCCCCCATGAAACCATTGGGAAAGTGTGTCTGGAATCAGCTGTAGAGCTGCCCAAGATCCTTTGCCAAGAAGAGCAAGATGCCTACAGGAGAATTCACAGGTAACAACAGCAGGGCTGCACCCCTCTCCAAGACTGTTTTAGCAACAGTAGAACACATTAGCAGTACTTAAAGTACCATAACCTTAGCAGGGGTATGGAAAATAAGAAGCATTAGCAGCTCATGTGCCTTTGTAGGAAAACTGATTGAATACCTTTGCACTAAGGAGTCCGAGTTCTCTCAGCCTTGCACACAAAGCATAACTGCTCCTTTCCTGCAACAAAAAAAAAGAGCTAGAACATGTGTGAGCTGATGGTGGCAATGGCACTTCAGCCATGTGTCTGTGTATGACGGTGATTAGTGTTTAACCAGGGCAAGAGTGCTGAGAAGTCTGAAAAATGAGATTAAGTATCAGCTTTTTGTTCTTTTCCTGCCTCTGGTGCTCAACACATGTTTTTGTGCTGTAAGCTCTTTGTTATCCTTGTGAATGTACAAAGCTTCAACAAGTGAAGAGGTTCAGATGTACCTGCAGCATCAGGGACTTGTAGGTAGCTGGTTCTATAGCCTGGGTTTGCCTAATACACAATTCACTGCTATTTTGTCACTAACCTGTGTTCTGGTTGTTCTCTTAGCCTCACCCATCTAGACTCCGTAACCAAGATTCATAATGGCTCAGGTAAGGATTCCCTTTTCACACTTGCAAATCCAGGGTGCTGCTCCCAGAGTCAAAACAGTAGAGCCTTCAGCAGGGGTTGGTTTGGCTCTAATTTTGGGAGAGAGTAGACCACAGCCATGTAACAGTGCTCCCTTTGCCATAAAAGGCATTTGTAAATAACTATAAGAGCACAAACTTTGTCTTTTTCTTTGCCACACAGTTCATATCCAATCATAAACACCCTTTGCCATAAAAGGCATTTGTAAATAACTACAAGAGCACAAACTTTTGTCTTTTTCTTTGCCATACAGTTCATATCCAATCATAAACACTGTGTAACCCAAAGATTTCCCTGAGACTGTTACCTTGTTACACAAAGTCTAGTGGAGGATCAGAATTGTAACTAAACACTTTAAAGGAACACATCAAGGCCTGTAAAATAACCTAATCCTGCAGTTTATGAATCTGTTGTATAAATCAACCTTTGTACAACTGATTACAATTACAATAGACTTTGGGGTTTTTTGGTTGTTTTGGGGGGTTAATGTTGTTAGAACAGCAAGGGGATTTTGGATTTGGTGAGTCTTGAAGTAGCATCTGGCTGATCTATATACGTGCATCTCCTGTATGTCACACATATGTGACCTTTTTGCTTTTGCCAGTGAGACTGGGTGAATCCTAAACACGCTTCTGTTCCAAGATAAATACTTCATTGTCCATTCTCACCTGCTCAATAAACGAGACATTCTTTGCTTCTGAATTTAGAAACTAATTAGCATCAATGATGACTTAACTTATATGCAGATTTCCAGATTTCTGTTGTAGATCTGTCATCCCTCCCCTGGGTATCTAAAGCTCAGATTGAAATTGCTTATTTCCCTGTTTAGCAAACTGCTGATTCTGACTTTCCTGTGGGGATGTCTGGTTGTCTTGGCCGGGATGCTGAAAGGTTTTCTTGGCTGTCTCTAATGCTCTTATCTTTGGGGTTGTTACAGCACATCGAGTCTTTTGTGTGTTTGCACTGGCATGAAATGTTCTTCCTTTTTCCAGTGTTCACAAAGAACCTCTGCAGCCAGATGTCTGCCATCAGCGGGCCGCTCCTTCAGTGGCTGGAGGACAGACTAGAGCAGAACAAACAGCGGGTGCAGGAGCTGCAGCAAGAGAAAGAGCAGCTCCTGGAGGAACTGGCTGCTTTAGAGTGAAGGAGGAAACGCAGACCCTTCAGAAAAGAGACATGGAAAAAAACTCTACGAGAACTACTCCTGGCTGAAGAGTGGCCCTGCACTGCCTTACAGTGAAAATACTAGCTGTGCCTCTTCTCTTGCCCCATGCAGCAAAGAGCTCTTCTGTGGGATAAGGGCTTTATCTGCCCCAGGCTGATGGAAAGCAGTGGTATCTCTCCAGGTGCTACGTGATGCAGTGCAGTTGTAGCTCAGTGGTGGGGTTGAACAGCACCTGAAGAGACTTCAGTTCTGGAAGGCACACACCTAAGGAACGTGTTGTTTCTTCCTTCCCCTATTATTTTGACAGAAGTCTTACTGCTTTATATGTATTCCAGGAGCCTAGAATGAGAGGGTTAGAGGGGAAAAGTGTGTCCTTGCAGTTGTATCTGATACTGCCAACTTCTGCCGCCTTTTAGTAGCTTCAGTTGACCGTGGTCTTTTATCTAGTAATGTTCTGGATTACTGGTTATCCACCCAGGCAGGTGAGAGGTGGGAGGGAAGCTTGGGAAGAGACCTGGAAGAACTTTGAATAGGATCTGTGTTCAGCATACTTCAAACCAAATAAAGAATTCCAAAGCCAGAGCTGTTTGGAGTAGAAATTAAATGGATGCTACAAAGTGTCGGTGCCTGAAATTTTTGGACACGGTCTGTATTCTTTTGCTTTGTGTGATGCTGTTGCGTGCCCAGCACTGAGGTTCTTCACAAAATAGAGCATTTTTGCTGGCTCAGTGGGAGGAGTCTGGTTCCTTCCCAGAGAGAAAAAGGATAAGATGCTGAGAAGAGAACTGAAAAATATGCAAGCCTGTCCTCCTTACATGCTGAACTTAATTGCAGAAATTTCATTAGATTGACATGGTACAAAATACCTTGTTGTTGAACTAATCCTTTAAATGTTCTTGCTGTTGCATTTGAGAGTATCCCCCATCGTGTACATCATCATCATCTGCATTCTGTTGGGTGAAGTCTGTCACCTGAGTGAAGGAACTAACAGCACAGTTAAAACTTGTTTCAGCTCCTTTACACACTCAAGTAGGTGAAATTGAGCTGCCTGCATTAGTGGAGGTTGTGATGTTCCTGATAACTCATTAGCTTGACCGTGTTATTGGGGGAATGTAAGTTGAGAAACGGGCACTCAGAACAGCCAATATTGATTAACAACAGTAAACTGCTGTCAGACCTAGAAGCCCCTTAGCGAGCTTGTTTTTGTCAGGCTTCACTTTTCAATCTTTCTGCATTGATATTAACAAAACCTGTAACTGCAGAACACTTTTAAGTAAAATGCAGGGTTTTTTTCTTAAAAGTGCTGGAAATATTTTTTCTGTTATTAGTTTTTGATCAGTGTCTTTGTTCTGTTGGTTTTATTATTGTTTTTGAGTTCAAGTGCTCTTTATCTTGATCTTTGTTGGGGGCTTGTCCCTCACTGTCCCCTGGCTCCATGAGAGCGCCTTGGAGATCACCTGGCAGCCAGCTCTCCAGTGCCATCTCCCAGGGCATCCTGCAAGTGTGTCCCACCCAGAGCCCAAACCAGCTCTCCTGCAGTCCAAGCCTGCAATTCCGTTATTTTTTGTTTATTTTGCTTCCCTGAAGATCCCAGACCCCAGTCTATGGATTACCCCCCCTGTAGGGAGGCGTGGGGCTATCCCCACTCGAGGTTACATCTCACAGGAGAAAGAAGCTGGTTTGGTTTTGGCTCTCTATCCACTCCCTGGGTTTTGTCCTCTCAAACTCCCGACAATTGACGGGCCCAGACGTGGAGGGGGAGACGGCGGGAAGCGGCGCCCTCAGGCCTTTCAAGCCGCCATTGCGGCCTGCAGGCCCCGGTGAGCGCCGCCCGGTACCGCGGCGGGTCGGCAGCTAGGGGAAACGCTTCCCGTGACAGCAGGGGCTGACGACGAGAGCTAAGGTTTGTTTGGAAACACCGGAGAGGGGCGGCGAGAAGGGACGGGTCCCGGCAGCGATACCCTGGGCCTGCAGGCCCCGGTGAGCGCCGCCCGGTACCGCGGCGGGTCGGCAGCTAGGGGAAACGCTTCCCGTGACAGCAGGGGCTGACGACGAGAGCTAAGGTTTGTTTGGAAACACCGGAGAGGGGCGGCGAGAAGGGACGGGTCCCGGCAGCGATACCCTGTACCGCGCATGCACCGGGCCGCCCGGCGGTGCGCGGCGGGGGACGGCGGCCGCACTGCGCATGCGCGCCCCGGGGGCGGGAACTGTTCTGTTATGGAGGCCTGTGGGCTGGAAGGGATATTAAAGATCATCCAGTTCCAGCCCCCTCCCTGCCCTGGGCAGGGACACCTCCCACCAAACCAGGTTGCTCAAAGCCCCATTCAACCTGGCCTTGAACACCTCCAGGGATGGGGCGTCCACAGCTTCTTTGGGCAACCTGGGCCAGTGTCTCATCGCCCTCAGGGTAAAGAATTCCTTCTAATATCTAATCTAAATCTCTCTTCCCTTTTGAAGCTGTTTCCACTATCTTGTCAGGCCTAGCCTAATTCAGTGAGCTCTACCAGTGACGTTCAAAACACAGCCTTCTAGGGAACATCTAATATCTAATCTAAATCTACTCTCATCCCGTTTGAAGCCATTACTCCCTGTCCTGTCCCTATCCTAATTCAGTGAGCTCTAGCAGTGACGTTCAAAACACAGCCTTCCAGGGAGTGCAGGGCCAGGGCAGTGACCGTCCCCCTGTACCGGGCACTGGTGAGGCCCCACCTCGAGGGCTGTGTCCAGTTTTGGGCCCCTCACTTCAAAAAAGACATCTGGAGCAAAAAGACATTGAGGTGCTGAAGCAGGTCCAGAGAAGGGCAATGGAGCTGGTGAGGGGTCTGGAGAACAAGTCTTGTGAGGAGAGACTGAGGGAGCCGAGGTGTTCAGCCTGGAGAGAAGGAGGCTGAGGGGAGACCTTGCTCTCTATAACTCCCTGAAAGGAGGTTATAGTAAGATGGAGGGTCAATCTCTTCCTCCAAGTCACAGGCGACAGGACACGAGGAAATGGCCTCAAGTTGCACCAGGGGAGGTTTAGATTGGATATTAGGAAAAATTTCTTCATGGAAAGGGTTGTCAAGCATTGAAACAGGCTGCCCCAGGTGGAATGGATGGTGGAATCACCATCCCTGAAGGTATTTAAAGGATGGGTAGATGTGGTGCTGAGGGACATGGTTTAGTGATGGTTTTAATCAGTGTTAGGTTAATGGGTGGGCCTGATGATCTGGAATGTCCCTTCCAACCTAAACCATTCTATGATTCTAACTTTTAATACAGCCCTGGATGTACATTGTCTTATGCTCCCCTTACAGTACCCTGCAGCACTGTCTGTCCCTTACTGCTTGATATTTTTTCAGCGTCTCAGCAAATAGTGATAGTTTTTAATGAAATCTGAATTCTGTGTTTTGTTTGTTTTTTTCCCAGGTATAAGGATCTACATATGACCCTGAAGTTGTATGCTGGTGCCCCTCCCACCCCCTCTTTAATACATAGAGTGGAGCAGGTGCTAAACTACCTGATGAGACAGATGGGGTTTGGTCCACTGAAAAAGTACACAGAGTTCAAAAAGGTGGGTTTTCTTTTAATTTGCACATAGTTCTCAATTTTCTGTGTCCTTTGCAATGTAACCTGCTTGCTTTTGGAAACTTCTGCTGTTGTCTCTGGAGAGACTGATGTCATGATTCCCTTATAGGCAGGGAATCTATGATGAGTAGAAAGCAGAGAGCAGGAAGCTCAGCAAAAGCCGGAAAACCACCTATTTATGAAAATATTTTGAATTATATCAGTAATGTATGAATGTCTTCTGTGAAGAAAGGAAGTCTGGATGTTCATGTCTGGCATTTTGAGTTTTAACCACATCACTTGCTTCAGCGTAGGTAGTTGTGGCAGCTGGTTTTCCAGTTTGGTCCATATAGCTTTCTCCTGATGCACAGTGCTGTCCTCAGTCTTGTTCTGCTGTGATTTGTGATAAAGACTCCAGAACAGAATCTCATCAGCCTGTTTTGTCTTCTGAAGATTTCTTTGCTATAACTGGAGTAAAGAAGGGTACGTTTCGCTTGTATTAGGTGATTATTAATGCTAAGCTTAAATCTTAGAGTTAGGAAGATCATGAGTTTGGGAGCTCATATTACTGCAGGATCTTGCTAAGCTCAGGAAAGTATGATGGAAGCTGATGCCAGTGAAGGAGAATGTTTCAGGGTTAGTTCTTAGGAGGGTGTGAGTCAGTGCATTGGTTTTATGACTAATGTTACAAGTAATGTTACAGCTGGGGTTAGGATTAAGGAACTGGAAAGAGCAGCTGGATGAACAGATGTTTCAAAGTTTGAACAATTCAGATGGCACTAAACAAAATGAACAGAAGGCAAACCAATTTTTCTCATCTTGGAATGTCTCTTATAGTACAAAGGAAGATTAGGGCAGTCATTAGGTTTGGTGGCTTATGTCTATTTGAAGACAGTACCTATGGAAAAAAATCATGCTTCTTGTATTTAACCAAGCACAGGTTTTGAGCTCTGTGAGGTCTGGGACAGACATTCTTCTCTGAATCCAGGTATGACAATGGATTAGGTTATTTCTCAGAACTGTTTTCATTACCATGCAGTAGGTTACCACCTTTGCTGGTGGTGTATGTCATATGTGGGCTTTCCTGACAGAGCTGGGTTAGGGAACGCTCCCATAAGCTCCTCAGTCACACTTTGTTGAGAGATGTAACTTTCAGCAAGCAGTAGCAGAAGATACAACCTCCTAATGGCAAAGCAGGACTCTAGAAGACAGCCATCCCCTACCTTAAATCAGAGAGGGAATCGTGCCTCTTGCTGTGTTCAGTTTAACTTTAGAAAGCAAAACAAACCAGGAGGTTCCTCAGTAGTAAAGAACTGTGAAAAAAAATGGGGTTTGGTCTCTTGACAATCTAGCACCTGACAGAAGGTGTTGGATATGACTCTTTTCTTTCAACTCAAATCTGTCTGAGCGAGACTCGTTCCCACCTAAGACTGGTTTGTTTGGAATTACCTTAAATTGACTGGGAACTAGTTCCAGCTGAAGGTCTGCGAATCAGTCCAAAACTGAAATAACTCCCTCCAGCAGAGCTTTCAGTGGTTGAACCACAGCAGAGGGACGTGATTTCCTTGTTATTTTTCTGTGTCTGTTTGAGTTTCATAACTGGACACCTGCAAGGCCAACTTAGGCATTTTTATGCACAGAAACTCTCCAGTTCCAGTGTTAGTAGCCAGTGGTAGCAGAGGATGGGCTTGTTTCAGAATTATCTTTTTTGGGGAATTAAGACACTGTTTCTATGACTCTTACACAGATGCAGAAACTTGGAGCTTAAGCACACAGTGGTTTGCGTTCCAGAAATGCGACTGAGAAGTTTGCCTAGGTTAAAACCTGTCCTGCTATCTCCTTTTCCTTCCTATTTTCTAAAGCTCATTAGAACAGGTATTTCTTTGCCCATATTTATGTCCCTAAAGATTCTATAAAGAATTATGGCTAATTGCATCCTGTTAAATTAGAGAGCTGGGTTTTACCTTTCGGGACATGGCTGTTTCTCAGTAGCATAAGCAAGTAACAGATGTGAAAACAGTCTTCAGGAAGAAAGCATGACATGAAACAAACATTTATTAAAAAGGACTGTACAGACAAATTAAACAAGTAGCACACTGTTACTCCTACTGGGCACAGGAGTAAAATATATAAAACACAGAAGCCAGTGAAAACACCAGATATTGCTAAAATACCTAAATGCTAAAAAGAAAACCTATGTTGGAGGAATTAGAAAACTGTAAAATAAAGGAAAGCACTTTTGTTTATTTAAAGGGCTAGTAAAGTCTTAATTTCTTGAATAGCCTGCTATTTAAAATAACACATCAATGGCTATTCTTCCAAAATTAGATTCTGTAACTTGAAGCCCCTGGCAGGTTCAGTCAGTCAGTGTCCTGTTGAAGCCCCTGGCAGGTTCAGTCAGTCAGTCAGTGTCCTATTTAGAAAGCTAAAGTTGAATTCAGGCAGTGCAAGTATTAAAATTTGGCTTACATTTTCTCTGTGGTTAATGAGGTCCTTGGTACGGAAGTTTGAACAACTGATCTACTTCAGCTTGGGTACGAAAATGTCTATAGCAAAGCCTTTAAACACAGTAGAGTATTTGCATCCTTTTAGCATGAGCTTAAGGTGGAGGGCAGGGGGAGAGGCTTGTTCTCTTCTTTTTTTTTTCTTTCCATTTGGTTGAAGAACAACAGGACTATCCTCTGAGGGAAGTGAGGAACCAGGAAAAGACCCTGGAAACCATCTATAACCTTTCCATTTGGTTGAAGAACAACAGGACTGTCCTCTGACGGAAGTGAGGAACCAGGAAAAGATCCTGGAAACCATCTATAACAAATCTACTTCAGCTTGGGTACGAAAATGTCTATAGCAAAGCCTTTAAACACAGTAGAGTATTTGCATCCTTTTAGCATGAGCTTAAGGTGGAGGGCAGGGGGAGAGGCTTGTTCTCTTCTTTTTTTTTTTCTTTCCATTTGGTTGAAGAACAACAGGACTATCCTCTGAGGGAAGTGAGGAACCAGGAAAAGACCCTGGAAACCATCTATAACAGATTCCAGTGATTTTGTTGTTGCTTGAATACCCATTGAAAAGGGAATGACAAAGCCAGGGTTAAACCAGACTTTAGTAATATAAAAGTCTTGTATGCTTTGAGAAGGGCTACTAAGGGAATTTACCCCAAATTAGAATGAATTTAAGCCAAGTGAAACAGTATCCTCAAAGAACCTTAGGTACAAAGGAAGAGGCCACTGTTGCTCCATGGAGCAAAAATGCACTAGACTTGTGGTAAGAACTGTACTTCAGACAGCTTCCTCCTCTGACTGAAAAACAAAAATTCAGTATTTCATATTTATCCCTCTAGTCCCCTGAGAAAGGTGCCTGGGAGAAAAGGGCCTGGGGCTGTCATGAGAAGAGCTCTTCAGTTAAACTTCCTTAATTCATCTGTAAGAGAAAAGGGGAATACTGGTTCCCTATGAAAGATACTGTTTCCCTTCCCCCGCCCCCAGGATCCCCTAATAATAATAATAATAATAATACAGATTTTGTCTCCTTGAAATAGAATTGTAGAATATCTTTAGTTGGAAGGGACCCATAAGGATCCAGTCCAGCTCCCTGCTTCTTGCAGGACTACCTACCACATGACCAAGAGCATTGTTCAGATGCTCTTTGAACTCTGACAGGCTTGGTGCCGTGACCACTTCCTTGGGGAGCCTCTTCCAGTGACTGACCACCATCTCAGTGAAGAACCTTTTCTTAATGTCCAATCTGAACTTCCCCTGATGCAGCTTCATTCCATTTCCTTGTGTTCGGTTGCTGGTCACCAGAGAGAGGAGATGAGCAGCTCCTCCTCCACTGTCCCCCTTGAGGAAGCTGTAGACTGGATCAGGGATGAGGTCACCCCTCAGTGATGAGGTCCCCCCTCTGCCTTCTCTTCTTCAAGCTGAACAAACCAAGTGACCTCAGCCACTCCTCGTAAGTCTTGCCCTGGAGGCCTTTCACCATCTTCATCACCCTCCTCTGGATACACTCCAATAGTTTGATGTTCTTCTTATATTGAGGTGTCCAAAACTGCACTGTGTGCAGTTTTGGACACCTCAATATAAGAAGAACATCAAACCACACCAGTGGGACAGTCACTTCCTTGGCCCAGCTGGCCATGCTGTGCTCCATGTACCCCAGGACATGGTTGCCCCTTTGGGCTACCAGGGCACGCTGTTGACTCAAAGTCAGTTGGACTCATTCTCATGCTATTCATACGGCAGAACTTCATAGGGGATGTGAAAGCAGATTTGTAAGCACTAATACATGATTGATACAAACACAACGTGTCATATTCACATTTTTTTTTTTTTTTAAAAAGAAACAAACCTTGTTAAACACGAGGGCACAAGAGACTACTTTAAAAAAGTAAAAAATACAAAACTGCCGTACTAAATTAGTAAACAGTGCATCCAAGTTTAGAGCTCCAGAGATCTCCCAAGAAAGAAAGAACCTGCCAAAGTACCAGTGAAGGGAGAGCAGCTACGACTATCCCTATCTGTCTCAGAATGGTGAGTTGAAGTTTCTAGAAATCTGTCCTTCTATTCGCACCGCTCCATGGCAGACCATTCGCCCATTCTCCACTGTCACTACTTCTTAAATTTACATACAACCATCATCAACGTATGCTGCTCTTGTGCATGCACTTTGGGGGAGTCCATGTACTGTCCTTCAACTCTGTGCATTTTCCCTTAAACCCAACAGGAATTGCTCTGAACGGGGCACACAGTGTGTGGCTGCTCTGACATTTAAAACTTGCATTAGAAAACATGCCTAAGGATAGAATGGTTCGTGTTCTGTCTCTGCCATCGACAGATGTTTAAACATTAAAATGGGAGAATACCAGCTGAACTTGGCATAAATTATAGGGCTATTTTCAATGAAATATGTGCTTTATGGTGGAGCTAGGAAATTAATGGCAATGTATGTGATGTGGCCAGCAAAACTGATTTATGTGGATGTGTATGGTGCCCAGCATTTGGCAAAGTTCTGGCCAGAGACTTGGGGCTTCCCTGTTCTTCCTTTTTAAAAAAGCAAAGTTCTCAATATAACCACTCTAGCATAGAAGTAGAGGAAAACCTGGGCTAAAAGGAGAGGAATGTAAACAGGCAGTCCCTGCTTCCTGAAGTTAGTGAAAAGAATATTTAATACTTGAGATCAATTTAGACAAAAAGGCGGTGACAAAGCTGGGATCAGAAGTGAGTGTTAAGCCCCGGGTCTGTAGTTTGGTCGCTGTCGTCCTCTCTGTTGGAGGAACTGTTGTTACATGGGGTGAAAAAAGAGGGTACAGGAGGGTCTAAAGGATCCTGTAGTCAGGGTTCTCTTGGCACATGTACATGTAGAGAAAAAAGAAAAAAACCTAGGCTGAAATAAAGCGCACTTAAAAATGACCTATTAAAAGATACAAAATTAGGAAGTTTTAGTTGAGGGAGGATGGTGACACCAAAGCCAGGCATTTCTGGTGAAATACATCATTTTTAGGTGAAGCTGTTCCTGGTGTGTGTTACTGACCTCCCCTGTGCTCCCATGGAGGATGTGTCTGTCAGGGGAGACTTGGGCTGTGGAACCCAGGACCAGGAGCCGTGCAGAATGGCTGATGGGCAGTCTGGGCACGTAGAGATTTGGGGTATTTCATGCATGTTTCCTAGAGAAGCACAGTGAGCTGGCTCTGGCCACAGAGCCTCGAGGACCACTAATACAGTTCCTCTGAGGCCTGTACTCAGGTCAATCAGTCTCCTGAGTGCTGGAGATAATACCATATTAAGATGTTAAAGCATCACAAATGACATCATTTTCAGAAATTCATACACAGCCGGCAACTTGATCCCCCTTCCAAATTTTAAGTCAAGTTTGAGGGAATGGTACAATCAAAGTCCTGTACATCAAAACTCACGTGTGTCCATAGTGCACTGATTTCCTGTGTAACCAATTTCTTTTTTTCCTGAACATTTCCTGTATAAAAAGAGCTCGACTGGATACCTAAACCTATGTGGTTTTACTAGATCGGAAAACAAATTCTTCTTTAGTGAAACAAACAGTCTGCTATTTCAGTACTTCAAATAGTCTCCTGTTATCAGGAGTAAACAGAATAGTCTTCTAGTAACTGCTTTTAAAAAGAGAACGTAAAAGCATTTATGGTAATCGCATTTGGCCCATAGGAATAGCCTGGCATTTAGGATACTTGCATAAGAATTCTACTTCATTTAGGAGTCCAAAAGATGGAATGATTGAAAGTTAAACTGTAGCACCAGTAATACTTACTTTCCTAAACCCAAATCCCTAAGGACTGGAAGGAAATTGGGACAGAACAGGAACATTGTGCTTACATTGCATTAAATAGAAAACAACGGGTCGATCGTACTTGAGTCTGCACTTCAGCAAAGTCTGGTCCAGTTCTACTGGAAGAGTACTGGAACTGCTCACGTGTTTGCTCGTCAGGCTTCTGGGTTTCATTCGTCCTGTTTCCTCTTGGGCTTTTTGGGATTCCGGGACCGGCTCTTGGCTTTGCAGAGTGGACATATGGGGGCGTTCCGATGAATTTGTTGGTGACAGGATAAACACGCCTGAAATGTGACATGGCAGCCTCTTGTTACAAACATTTAAATGGCATTGTTAACGCGGGTTATTGAGAAACATACTCTAAGTACAGAAGAAAATAACTAAGGCTTCTTACCTTCCTAGGGAAACCAGAGCCATATTCTGTACAACCTAGCTCTTGGGATTGTACAGTAAGTTCAGGCCAGCTGAAAAACTAGAGTATCTCATTGAATTGAAACTACCATTCAGCAAACAGACAGTTCAGGCACGTATCAAGAACTTGAACATTAAATTCTTTGTTGTGTTAAACGTTCCACACATTTTGACAATGTTTACACGCTCACTGGGTCACAGCGAAGGCCAGGTGTGATGTTACAGGATTCGAGGCAGGAGCGGGTGCTTAGATGAATTTCACACATTTAACAAACATACAGAACTCTGCCCTTTTGCTCCGTATTACTTTCAGAGAGGCTTTTCCATGTCCTAACTCCAGCCAGTCAGTACAGAACTACAGAGTGTACCTACGTCAGTTTGCCTCCTTCATCAGTGAATCTTTGGAACCTGGCTGGGATGAATACCCCTCTGGAATTCCTTAGCTCTTTTTACTAACTACAGAAAGAGCTGAGTCAAACTGTCACTTAAGTGCCTGTGGTTAGATTAAATTAATCCATACATTAGTCCTGACTTGAAGATCCCATGAAGTGAAGAAATAATCACCTTCCATGGTAATTTGTACCATCAGTAATTACTCTCCCTCATAAATTACATGCATCGCTTCTAATATGAATCCATTTGGGATGAACTCCCAGCTATTAGTTTTCCTTTTGCTCAGCGTTTGGTGTTGATTTTTCTTACGTGCCTTTCTCCCACATGAAACACAAGAGGACTGTGTCTACGTCTCTGCTGATGGAATCTCTTAAGTCATAAAGGAGTCAAATAATACAGAGCCTTGTCCTTAACCACTGATGACTGGTGCTACCACTTTAAGTCTACTTGGGGTTGCTTTTGATTTGAACCACTGCAAGAAAAAATGCGAATCGGGACACATCATTCTTCCTTTTTTTTCCTTCCTATTGATCAGCTTTATAAATATAATATGTTCCAATGACAAAAGAGGAAGCCCAGGGCATTCCATCTCCTGACCTTCATGGGAGGTGGCTGTTGTCTGAAGGTTGCTGTCTGCCTGGTGTCTTGTTTCCGAGCCACTTGCAGCTGCTGGGCGGCTGCTGCAGCTGCAGCCAGAGACTCTGGGATGGGAGGCTCCTGGGGTTCAGTCTGCCATTCTGCTTTCTGCTTTTCAAAGTAGCTAGCCAAAAGAAAGCCAGATAAAAAAATATCACCACCTTCTGCAGTATTCCATTAGTTTGTAAAGGATATTTTGTGTTAAAACATAGTGGATCACATTTCCCTATCATGTTCCTCCACCACAGTCAAACTACCTACGCTTAGACACTGCTTGGACTAGTTCATAAATAGAATTGGTGGTATTTTCCTCTGCATTTGTACACTTCAGCCAGATTCCATATTGTCAGTTTCTAAGGTACCTTGATTTACAACTGGATATAAACCTAATAGGATGGAAAATAGACAACATATATATATTTAATCTTAACACCTTTGGATGCACCTCTGTCAAACTTAGTTTATAGATTTTATTCTGTTAAAATCAATAACTTACGTGTGCAATAGATCAATACATTCTTTGTAGTGTCAAGGTGCTTGGAATGGAAAACAGCATTTCTCAAGAAATGCAAAAGAAATCTTGATAACATTCTTTGTAGTGTCAAGGTGCTTGGAATGGGACACAGCATTTCTGAAGAAATGCAAAAGAAATCTTGATAATTGTATGTCTGAAAATGATGCCAAATGTGCTGGGCTTTAAGAGAAATGTAAGTTTCTTAAAACATCACTTGTGTTTAAAACTGATCTGTTAAACAAAGGACACTGTTCTTTTGAATAGTAGCTATTTCTGTCACCCTCCTCCACCTAGGATACACCTAAAAGTGAAATTGCAATTTATTGTCCAAATCTGTTGCACATCTAGGGTAAACTTACTTCTTGACAGCCATAGGTAGACAGCTAAATGCCACTGCCATGTGCCTGCAGCAACAAGTAAAATTCTGACTAGCAGTAGCACAAACCAACTGAAGAATACTTCGTATCCCTTCCTTGTATTGCCTCCTACCTCTGCTTGCTAAATGAGCAAAGAAAAAAAAAATATTTTCAGGAAAAAAGTCTTGCTAGAAATAGCAGTGTATGGTATAAAAATCTAGAAAAGCAACCACCCTTGAATTTTGTATGTAGAGTTTGCAGCTTGTAGTAATCTAAATTTAACTTCTAACAAAGTTAAGTTTCATTCCGACTGAATGTTACCCAAAACATGTGCTCCCACATCCCTTTTTTGTTAACTTTTCTGTTTCATGCTTACCTCTTAAGTTCTTTTTTCCACCTACCAACAAAAGTAAAATGAATCGAGAGAAGGTACAAAGGCAGATAATGTTTGCTTTGGAGACTTACTCCAGGGACAGTTTCTCTTCCTCCTCGCAGAGATCTGGCAGCCTCTGCAACCCCAGAGTCATCCTCAAAGCATCTACGTGCTCCTTCAGGGGCTTGTACTCCTCGTGCAGGCGACGGGTAGACTCCAAGAGCTTGTTGAGATCGTTCTCGGACTGTTTGATAGTATTCTCCATCTGAAACAGGAGGATGGGCATGTTTTTAAAGAACTGTTCCTTTAATAGCACTCCGATTGAGCAAAAGGCTGTCTCAGAGAGATTTTTCTCACTCACGTTGGAAGAGGCTGGAGACAATGCAATAGTAAAAACAAAGAGTTAAGATGCTGAGAGGATGAAAACTGGGCAAGGAAGAAGCAATTAAAAGTGACACATGAGATGCATTTTCATTTATAAAGGTGCACTCAGCCTATCTAACCTTCTCAGCAACAGCAAAAAAAGCAGGTAGAGAGGCTATAGATAAGTCAGCAAGTGAGGAGCTGTGGAAAACTCTCAAGGGACATTAAAAAAGAAATTAAAGTAGAATAAACTAATTTTCTCTGTTTCTAAGATGCCTGAACACTGTTGGTTAGAAGCTAACAAACATACTAAGGAAAGGTTTCTGCTTCTCTTACTGTAAATGGGAAAAGCAGCAGAGAAAAAGACAATCTGACAGGAAAAAGAGGGGAGGATGAAACAGAGACTGAGGTTCTGCAGCTGGGCAGGGGAAAAGACATTTCAAGTGATACATAAATGCAGTCTGCACATCCTTCTACTGGCTTATGATGTGGGAGCTTTTTTCTTGTGGTGCAAAGCACAGAAACCTTCAGAGTTAGAAATCATTGTACAGTCCTTTAAGTGCCCTAACATGACATAAAAAATGCAATTTAAAAAATATATTCCCTATTTAGCCCCTCTAATTGGCTAATTTTCCTTGTTCATAAACTTCTCTTATTTGTATTAATTCTGTACAGGCTGATGCTTTTTAATATTTGGTAGTTCCACTCAATGCTGAAGGTCAGCTCTTACTAAGAACTTAACAAATATCATATCAGGGCCATGAAAATGCTCAGAGGGCTGGAGCACCTCTCCTGTGAAGACAGGCTGAGAGAGTTGGGGTTGTTCAACCTGGAGAAGAAGAGGCTCTGGGGAGACCTTATAAGGGCATTCCAGTATCTGAAGGGGCTACAGGAGAGATGGGGAGGGACTCTTCATCAGGGAATGTAGTGACAGGACAAAGGCTAATGGTTTTAAATTGAAAGAGGAGAGATTTAGGTTAGATACTAGAAATTCTTTCCTGTGAGGGTGGTGAGACACTGGAACAGGTTGCCCAGAGAAGCTGTGGCTGCCCCATCCCTGGAGGGGTTCAAGGCCAGGCTGGATGGGGCTTTGAGCAACCTGGTCTGGTAGGAGGTGTCCCTGCCCATGGCAGAGGGGTTGGAACTGGATGATCTTTCACGTCCCTTCCAATTCTAACCATTCTATGATTCTACTATATATTTTCACATTCTCTTTTCTTCCAAAAACCTCCCATCAAAAGTCCCAACCAGCTGCCAGTTTCTCTGTTTTCAGGTGCTAAATGAGGAAAAGCTGACAGGAAGAAGTGTTTTCTATGGGACTGCCCCAGAATGATGTTACTATGGCTACTGGTAAAGTTGTAGCCACAACGGGCTTGGTTATTTATGCTCTGGGTGCAGATGTTACTGTGCCAACATTACAAAATATCCTGCCCAACACAGACAGGAAAAAACAATTATCCTGAGGAAAATTGCCTTTGCACTTTTTGTAGGTTCCTGGGATGGGGGTGTAAGGTCCAGATTACTGAACCAGTGATGGTTCACTGATGTGCACAATTCCACAGCCTCTGGGCTGCCCTGGGAAGTGGTGGAGTCACCGTCCCTGGAGGTACTTAAAAGACGGGTAGATGTGGTGCTGAGGGACATGGTTTTTGGTGGTTTCGGCAGTGTTAGATTGATGGTTGGACTTGATGACCTGAAAGGTCCCTTCCAACCTAGACAATCCTATGATTCTCTACACAACCGTGTCTCGGGCTGTTCCGTACCACGTTAATGTCAGCGTGGATCAGCCGCAGCTCCTCCACATGGGCCATCTTCTCTTGCAGCAGCAGGTCCATCTCCTGCTTGTATTCCTTCAGGTGCCGCTCCTCAGACTCCAGGGCTTCAAATTCCGCTTTCAGCCGGGCCTTTATTTTTTCCATCTGCAAAGTCTTATTCCTGGATGCCAGTGATAATTAAAAATACAGAGGGACAACAGTAAGTCACTGCAACATATTTTTGTGAGGTGTCACTTTATATGTGAATAGATGGAAGAAGGTAACAGCAGTAATAGGCAAAGGTGAGATTACACACGTCTGAGAAAGAATGAGGTGCAATGAGAGAACAGAATTCTAATACCAGCTCTTTTGGTGAGCTTTTATGTGCTATGAGAATTCTTATACTGAATTATGAAATTACTAGAACATTGACAGTTACTGTAGATTCAGAGAATTTGGACCCGTAGAGTTCTGCATCAATTAACTCAGATTAAGCCATACTTCCAAAATAGAGAAGTTCAGAAAATCTGAGAAACGTTAAATGAATTGGAGGTGGTTATAGTATCATAGACACAGACTAAAACTATGTGGACAGTAATCTGAACTGCTAAAATACTAACTTCAACTTCAGGTTAAGGAAAATTCCAGAGCAGTGACGTATCAGAATAGTAAAAACTCAAATGACATTGTCCATCAACATCCCACTTGCAAGTAACTCCGTGTTCTCTAGTACCTGTCCCATATTTGTAAATGTTTCTGCCTGTATCCTGCATTCTGATTTTTTTTGGTGCCAATCTGTAATTCCATAGCAAAGATGTTCAGATGCACAGTCTCTCTTCAAAGCTAATAATCAAAGAGTGTGAGTTTCAGTCATCAGAGAGTTTTCAGCAGTGGAACAGCCCACTGCTGTTGTGATTCCACCCTTGTCCAAGCTGTTGAAAGGAACAAACAAACTGTTCTTGTTCCTGCGATTTAGTTAATGAAGAGGCCTTACTTATTTTTCCTGTACTGGGTGTTAGAATATGATACTGGGTAACCAGTGTGTCAGCAACACTTAAACGTTTCTACCAACAGGCATTGGTACTTCAGAAATAATCTTAACAGTAAAGTTCTTTCCTCTATATAAATGAGTTGTAGGAGATATGGATTACTATTGCCAGTGATGGCAACCCATGACTATTGAGAATAGAAGTACCAGACCAAAGACAGATACAGAAAAAGCCAATGACAAATAAGGTCACACCAGAGGTCACTCAGAGACATTTATAGATATTGTGGTAGACATATTTAAAACCAAATTTAATAAAATTCACTTGGTAAGTATGAGTATTATGTCTGTAGCTCACCATAGAGTTCACCTTGTTTCAGAAAATGGAAATTGTATACCTGTGAGCATACATTTATTTTGAAAGGTACGTAGGCATTCCAGTTCTGAAAAGTCCGTATCTCACCATTAGAGTAAAAAATAGCTGATGGAATAATAAGGCAACTAGTAAAAGTTTTTATGAATGAAGTGCAGAAGCAGCCTCATGGATGTAGTTAGAATGCAATGAAGTGCAGAAGCAGCCTCATGGATGTAGATAGAATGCAAGTGTGTAGCTATAACACTGTAATCTTTAATGTTCCTGGAGGTGTCCTGTCATTTACTGTACAATGGCCTATACTAATCCAAATGTAAAATATCCTCTCTGCCTTCCATTTTAAATGTGGCAACATCCCACTAAAAAATACCATCCACCCCTCTTTCCATCAAGTGTCATTGATCCCATTTACTTAAAACATTTATTTAGTAATGGCAGCTTTGATTACTGAAACCGGGAGTGTTTGTCCCCAGTTTCCTCCCCGCTTCCTCCCGTGTATTTACGGCATGTCTTCACCTGGGACAATGGAAATTGTTTCCCCACTCTTACTAGTCACTGGCTGCCATCCTCTGCCAAACTGCTCCAGCAAATTTGCAGGGGATTGTTTCAGTCCAGATAATTAGCTTTTGATGTTAGGGAAGGAAAAGTGCACACAAATTAGAGCTCTTCCTGTGAGCATCAGGCAACGTGCTGTAATGCTTTAAAACAGAAACCAGAAGTGTGATTTCAAGACTGCCTAATGAATTCTGCCCTCATACTCTTTTTCCCTTCTATTTAAGTTCTTACACTACACTGATGCCAGTAGTCACTAAGTGTGTCCCCACAGGGCATTCAGCAGTGGAATTAGCATCTGCCATCATCTCTTGTTCACTCTCGTTCTCTTTTATCTCCTCCCAGTGAGAACACTAAGTACTGTCTTTATGTATTTGCTTAATTTTATGACTTGGGTGATTTTTGTGAAACTACTTAATGCATACAAATAAGCACGTGCAGGTATGTTTGGATTGTTTACTGACAGCAGTAATTGCATTGACAACAAATTATATGTATGCATCTATATAGATATAGATACAAGTCTTCAAAATCAGATTTCCGGGATCCCTTCGAAAAACCAGTTGAGCTGCCTTTAATAAGTGGTAGAGATCAACTAGAGGAATGGGCAATTTCTTTAATTTTGATTCCGAGGGCTTTTTTTCCTCTCTGCCTGTAGAATAATACATGGGATGCAGATTAATAAAGCCTGCCAAATCCATCAAAGGTGTGTCTGTAAACATGAGAAAATCTCATGTTTATTTGAAGGATACTCTTCACAGATTGCAAGTTCCTTTTAAAAGATTTGTGGACGAAAAAATTGGTTTATTTGATCAGGTTAAAGGACACTCAAAATTGACATCAATATTGCAAGTAAAATTGACTTTTTGATGTTGATTTTTTTTTTAATTTAAGATATATGAAAGCAACTTTCTTGATACTTCACTGTACACTAAAGCTAGAAATGTTGCTTTTACAGAACATTATGCCACAAACAAATAACAAGAATCTCTTCATTGCAGTTTATATATCACCTTAAAAACTGAATGCACCATAAATTTCCAAGTACTACTCTCTCTGAAAAGATAATTTAATGAGGCATTTAAATTAAGTGTTATAATAATCGGACCACAAACTGTTGCAGGCCATATTTAGATCTGTATTCTAAAACCGAGCCTAGAAAGGCCTTGTCCTTACTCTGCAAAGTATGTCTTGTCCCACCTCTTTCTACCAATAGTTTTGGGATGGCACACACAGAAATATTTTTGCTTGGTCTTTGTTCACCTTTTATTGTGTGAAGGCGGCGGAGGCCCCTACACTGCTGCCTAATTCACTTCTTCGTGGGTAAAATGTGCTTCTTGGAGGTGCCGTTGCCAACCAGAAGTCTTGGTGACCGGTGGCAGCACCTTTGTCCCCTGCTCTCTGTCCCCACTAGCCCCTCTCCAGCTGTCCTGTCCCAAACCACTTCTCATCGCTCTGGGGTTGCTACATCCTAAATCACTGCCTTCACTCTCCCTGGAATGTATTTTAGCTTTTGGATGCATTAATTCCTACTGAATAAGACAGCTCAGGCCTGATCTGGAAAATCGATGCCCTAAGCCAAAGAGTGAAAAGGCTCTACCTAAAGCTGTGAAAGAGGCATGTCCCCAATGTGGGCACACGGGGTGCCGTTGCCTGTGAGCCCCCTCTTTCAGTGTATCCTGCGGGTCACTGTGGGGAGGACACTGTGCACAGACCCCCGCTGCACCCACCACTTGCACCCAAAGGCTCTACCTAAAGCTGTGAAAGAGGCACGTCCCTGCCGTGGGCACACGGGGTGCCGTGCCTGTGAGCCCCCTCTTTCAGTGTATCCTGCGGGTCACTGTGGGGAGGACACTGTGCACAGACCCCCGCTGCACCCACCACTTGCACCCAATGGCAGTGAGCTCCTGGAGGGACAGCCGGTGTGTCCCCAATGGCAGTGAGCTCCTGGAGGGACAGCCAGTGTGTCCCCATCCCTCCTTCCCTCCCTCCATCCATCCATCCATCCATCCATCCATCCATCCACAAACCCCCAGTGCACCCACTGCTTGCACCCAGTGGCAGCGAGCTTCTGGTGTCCCCATCCCTCCATCCATCCATCCTTCCATCTGGTGTGTCCCCATCCCTTCATCCATCCATCCTTTCATCCATCCATCCATCCACAGACCCCCGGTGCACCCACCGCTTGCACCCAGTGGCAGTGAGCTCCTGGAGGGACAGCTGGTGTGTCCCCATCCATCCTTCCATCCTTCCAACCATCCATCCACCCATCCACAAACCCCCGGTGCACCCACTGCTTGCACCCAGAGGCAGCGAGCTCCTGGAGGGACAGCTGGTGTGTCCCCATCCCTCCTTCCCTCCTTCCATCCATCCATCCATCCATCCACAAACCCCCGGTTCACCCACTGCTTGCACCCAGCGGCAGCGAGCTCCTGGAGAGACAGCTGGTGTGTCCCCATCCCTCCATCCTTCCTTCCATCCATCCATCCACAAACCCCCGGTGCACCCACTGCTTGCACCCAGAGGCAGCAAGCTCCGGGAGGGGCAGCTGGTGTGTCCCCATCCCTCCATCCTTCCTTCCATCCATCCATCCATCCATCCATTCACAAACCCCTGGTGCACCCACTGCTTGCACCCAGCGGCAGCGAGCTCCTGGAGGGACAGCTGGTATGTCTCCATCCCTCCCTCCATCCATCCTTCCATCTCTCCCTCTGTCCATCCATCCACCCATCCACAAACCCCCAGTGCACCCACCACTTGCACCCAGTGGCAGCGAGCTCCCAGAGGGGCAGCCGGTGTGTCCCCATCCCTCCATCCATCCATCTATCCACCTCTCCATCGCACTCTTCCTCCATCCATCCATCCATCCATCCATCCATCCATCCATCCATCCATCCATCCCTCCCTCCATCCATCCCTCCCTCCCTCCCTCTATCCATCCATCCATCCCCCCCTCCATCCCTCCTCCCTCCCGGTAACATCCCCCACCACTCGGGGTTCCCTCGGCCCCCTCCCCGGCCGGTAACACGGGCACGAATTCCACGCTCCCCGCAGGCCACAGCCCCGGGGAAAGCTCAACCCGACGACCCCCGGCCCCCCCGGACACTGGCCGCCCGGGGGGGGGGGC